TGGCCTTTGTATTATCAGACAGCTTCCTGAGTTTCCTCTGCAGTCTAAGAAAATATGTGCATATTCTTGATTATTGATATCATTTTCAATTTATATTTCTTGATGAATCTACTTTTCCATTTGATTTCGAACTGGTCATCTTTTTGGATTGCTGCTTAATATTTTGAAGTAATAGCTAGAAGTTTTTGTATCTCTGTGTACCTCTTGGCTTTATTGGGCATGATAACCTTTGATACAGTCAAATTTCAAACAAGTAGTAACTTGAACGTTTATGATATGCTGCAGTGGGACTGATGGTGAGCTACTTCAAGAAGAGGATTACCTTTTATCCAGTCCATATCATTTGGTAACCAGTAAATATTTTCAAACATTAAGCCTTTAGTTTTTCCATATCAAATGATTTGCTGCATTGTATGCATCCTTTTCTTGTGGGAACAAGCATGGCTATTCTCTTTACAATTGTTCTTTTGAGTATTTCAGCTAGATTTGGAAAATGAATATTTTACCAATATTTTGCCCCTGCTTTATATTAGGTTATGGTTTTGAGATGTGTGCTCCCCTTCTGTAAAGAAAGCCCTATCAGAAAATTCTTGCTTCTGCAATGTACAATTCAGAATTCAGATAGCTCAACAAATATGTTGTCTGTGATCATTCCATAAATTTTTGCAGTATCCTAGGTTGCATTACATTAGTTGGCCTTTTGCAACGTTATGATATTGTTTAGTTTCATTTAGAAGATCATCTGTGTAAGCTTTCTTATTTTCTATGTTTAAGCTCGCCCTTATGGACTGTCTTTGCAGTATTTAGTTTGTTCCCTTTCCCTTTCTGAATGTACACCTTCTGCCTTGTTATGACATCCTGATACTCGTGAAAGTTGCCATACCCATTTGAAATTTAATCTTCTGTTTGATTCAGTAACTAACACCAGATGTGTATCTTACTTTGTTAAGCCAATGTGCAAGTTAGCATATTATTATTTGTTTTTATGAATAAAAAATTTAGCATTGTTTCACTTCTATGTAAGTGCTCAAATTATATCCACTTAAGTGTTTTTACATATAATAGAAGTATAGTACTGATATCCAGTCTCCATTATAATTGCATTGAAAGTTTTCTATCCTGAGCGCGGTAGATCCCACATCCATCTTACAGTTGATACAAAATACAGCATGTATAGCTTCCTAATTAATCTCTTTTGAAGCTTGTAAACATTTTTTGTTGTTCTCTTCAATAATGAGTATCTTGGGTTTATAAGGTATTTACATGTGACAGATAACTCCACAAATTACTTCTTGGCAATTAAACTGATTATTGAAATCGACCGCTATGTGGAAACCGTCCCTTTGATGTTTCACGAAGTTGAATGAATTTTTAAGTTTTTGAATTTCTAACAAGGGTGTGTTCTAATTTATTTTTGGGTTATTTGCATATATACCCCTTAAATCATGGGTATTTGCAAAAATACCCTCCAAAACTTAGTATTTGCAAAACTACCCCTCAAATCATCAATTTTGGAAAAATTATCCTCAAAGAAATTAATCATCAACTTTGATAAGCTAATTGTGATCACAATGTAAAAATTAGCAACAAAACAGTCAAAATTTTAGCACCAAGTTGATGATTTGTTGATTTTAGGGGTATTTGTTCCACAAAGTTGATGATTTGAGGAGTAGTTATGCAAATACTGAGATTTGGGGGGTTATTTTTGCAAATATCCTTGATTTAAGGGGTATTTTTAACTGTCATTGCGTAGGGACATTTCTTGCAGTCTATTTCATGTTAGATTACATTTGCTTGGAATTTGTGCACATGCCTCATTTGCTTGGAATTTGTGCACTATTTATCAGTATGGGTTGGATTGGAACTACTTTACACCCTTAACATATATCAGGAGAGGATTGGTCGTATTTGCATATTTTTATACTCGCCAGCACATATTACCTTCTTTGGTAACAAATACTTCACATGGATTTTTCAGAAATGTGTTATTGATATTATTTTACAGTTCTCTAGTAATATTCCTTATGCACTGGAAGAAGTTGTGTCACTGAATTTAGATTTGTTTCCTAACAGCTTGGAGTATTCTCTTCTCAAGTTTTTCAAGAATCTTCTCGCAGCAAACTTGGAAGGAGGAAGAAGTGTAAGTTAATCTAATTGGTACCCAACATATTTTTTTTTCTTTTTTGTTCATTGTATAATTCTAAATTTCTACCATCCTTTTCAGCCTTTACCTATGACATGGAGAAACATTGTAATACCGAGATAGCTGCCCAAGTTTCTCGTGCTCCACGACAAGGTAGTACCTACTTCAACTGGAGTTTAGCTTTTTTCTAATTCTTTTTAGAATAATTTGATCTTGTGACTGTTATATCTTTTAATGTACTTTAGATTTTGGTTGCAGAAGTAATTTTTGGACCGTTTTTTAATGCTCTCTATGTGCAAATAATTGTCAATCATCTTACATTGCTCTTATGTTTGCAGAATGAAATCAGTGAATCTGATGAAATGTATTTCATGTTTTTTTTTTAAATTTTTGCACTATTCTACACGTAGGCTCAATCAGGATGTACCTGACCTAGCATACACTGTCAGCTTTAATAAGAACCATACTCATCTAATCTGTTGAGTTATCGTGCAAGATTGTGTCTTAGTAATCTTATGCTGGTAGTAGTGTTTTTTTTGCCAGACGCAGGGGCCTTCACAATCCCCGTGCTGAGTATCCATATCATTTCCATAAAGAACAATTGTGTAATGTGCATACGAAATATCTGCTTTCTAGGTACATTTAAAAGGAAGAAAAAGGGAAGGCATTTTTGTGGACAGAATCAACATATCTCCCAAATGAAAGTCATCTATTTGTAGTGCTTGCAAGTTAAGGACTACAATGACAAGGAGATCCTTGCTAACTTTAATATTACTCCATTTTGGTAAATGTAATTGGCTGATGTACATTGTCACCTGCTGCCCAAAACCTCGTGGTTTAAGCATTTAGTTTCACCAAAGTGACCGAATCATGGAGTATAAGATGTGGAGCTGTTAGAACATTTAAGGAACTGACAAGACATCAAGGTGCTTGTCCAAAATGTAAAATTCTCAAAGCATAGAGGTTATCTTAGAACTTCAAATCTTAGAATTTTTATTTTCATGATTGTTATGATTCAAACTTGTAAATATTTAGTTATCAACCGTCAGATGCTAAGTGCCTTTTTTCAGCAGATGGAGAGCATGAACGCTACCATTTGGAGGGATTGGTGGAGAGTCCATCTGCGGATGATGATGGAGAGTGTTTCTCCCCCATTTTACTCAATGTCACTTCTCTTAACATTGAGGTCTACTACAACAAAGCAGTTAACTACACTCTGATGGTTACCTTTGTATCCTTCATGAACGTGGAAATACAAATTGGAAATTAGCCTTTTTGTTCATTTTTATTAAACTAGTTGGAAAACCTTAATGGCTTTAAAAATAGATATCATTTCTTCAAGTTTTGTTGTTGATCAGACAAATGGAGCACAGTAATACCCAATCAGTAAGTTTTTAAGTCTAATTGCATAAAGATCTTTAACCTCACTGTGTTGAAAGTAGAGTATTTGATATGAAAAGTTCTGCTGCCCATTGCACAAAGTCACTAAAACCTTTTCTTATATAACTGCCAGTATTTTCTTCCATACTGTTCCAACTTTATTGTGTCAAAGTTATGTGCCTAATAATAGGACTTCAAATTTCATTCAGGGTGCAGCTAAAGTTTCTATTCTAATGATTGGGCACCAGGCCATTATGGATGCCTACTTCTGTCTCCTGCATTTGACTGCTGGGATATTAGTTGGTGAGCATTCTAAGTATTTTGCTTTGTTGTATTAGTATCTGAGTGACTTAGTTCTCATGGGCAAACAAAGCCAAAATTGTTTATATTAAGATATTATCTGAACAAAATTGAAGTTGAACACGGTAAGACAGTAGTCTTCCATGTTTTTCAATTTATACTTGTACAGAATGTCTCGAAGCCAGGACTGTAATAAGGAGCGTCAGAAGGGAACTTTTCAGAAATCATTTCAATTATTTCATGCTTGTGTGAGGAGTATTACATTTTTTCCCCCAACAAGTCTATCAATCTTACATATTTTGTTTAAGTTAATAATCAGTGACAACATAAGTACCTTTTTTCTTACTCTGTAGCTGACCCTGTGCAGATCTCATTTTCACATTTATCAAGGCTTATTGCACATATGCGTCAATGTTTTTCTGATCGTAACCATCTACTGTAACTGAACCATCTTTATATGATAAGATTCAAACCATTTGTAATTTTTACTAATGTAATCATTTTATTTACATATGACAAAGTTCCAATAGAGTCATCATCTTATTTTGGGCAGGTTGGTTAGCTAAGATCCATAACCTTGTTCATTTGGATTTGGATTTCGGATTATTAGTTTTCTTGCAGAAGATACGAGTTTTTACTTGCACTGAGCAACATCAAGAGTCGGCAATAAGATTGCCTGAACTATTATTTTTGTCATCTCTTTGAGTCTATTGATTTCTCGATATATATTCTTTTGCCCATAGTCTATACCCTTGTGATAAAGTGGTTATTGACAGGTTTAAGAACTTGAGAAGTTTAACATTAAGCTAAGTGGATTTGAAGACTGAAAACTCAAACGCATCTGGAGCTCCTATTATCAATTGAATCATATACATGTTATGCCTTGTGTGCAAGCTCCTAATAAAATTAAAAAAAATTAATACTTCTATCTTGTAAGATACCATTGAATATAATAATGCTACTTTCTTTATGAACCCAGTTGTTGAAGATGCTGATGTATTCTGGATTCACTAATTTTTCCAGTCCCGGTCTCACTGATTCATCATTCATCTATTATCAGAAAGTTGTCATTAGTTTATAGTTTAACACCTGTTAACTGATTTTATATATAAATTCCGTACCCTAAATTGGTTGTCTTTTACCTTGCAGAGTCCCTATTTAATGCCTTTGCAACTGCAGCCTTCTTCAAATTTGTTGTTTTCTCTATTTTTGAGATGAGATACCTCCTTGCAATATGGAAGGCAAATAGGCCAATAAGCAGTGGAGAAGGTTGGGAAATTATGAGGCGTGAACTTTCAGTTCTTTATAGTCGTTTCTGTAAGTTGTTCTGACTTTAGCTCTTTTATTATAACTGATATACTGGATGGATATGTGCATTCAATCTTTCTAAATGTTTAAGTGCTTGTAATGCTACTGATCCTTTGTACTCTAAAACTTCACCCATGCAGTATACATGAATCTGTTATCCGCAGAGTGCTACACGCACTCAAATAAAATAATACGATCCCAGTGATGTGTTATCTGAACATAGAATGTTCCTTAACTTAATTGCTTACATTCACAATTTCTAGATTAAGTTCCCTCGTTATCTCTGGTTGTTAATATGCCTGACCAAATTATTCTACTCTGCAGATGGAATTCTTTTGGGAGGCATTCTTCTCATGTATGAGATGCACAATTTTCTACGTCCTATTCTTTTCATTATGTACTGCTTTTGGATACCTCAAATTATTCTGAATGTGATTAAAGATACAAGAAAGCCCTTGCACCCTCATTACATATTAGGCATGACTGTCACTCGTTTAGCGATTCCATTGTACGTATTTGGTTGTCCAAGCAACTTTATGCGCATTGAAGTCAACAAGAATTGGTGCATATCATTGGTTGTATTCATGGGATTGCAAGCATCAGTTCTCCTCCTTCAGCATTATCTTGGATCTCGTTGGTTTATTCCTCATCAGGTATGAGTTTTCTTTCTTATGATTCTTCACATCTATATTCCTCGTTCTAGAATGATTTGTTATTTGTATAGGGGTCTGCTACATGACAATGGTAAGATAATGCTTAATTACAAAGGAAAATGATGATTTTCCCCATTCATTCACATGTAACATGGACTATTTTACCAATAACAATTACATAGTCTAGTGGTTGTTTCTATCCTTCTTTTTAAGGGTATTGTTGCTACATGGGCTTTGATCTTCATAATCTAATATTAATCATCTATCTGCAGATCCTACCCGAAAAATATAGCTATTACAGGAGGCTCGAGAATGATGTGTCACAAGCTACAGATTGTGTCATCTGCATGACTGGCATTGATGTCACACAGTTATCAAATGACTACATGGTACCATGATAATTTTTACCCTCCAAATACAGTGCTTTACAAACAACAATTTAATCTTCTATCCTTGTAATATTTCAGGTGACACCTTGTGAGCATTTTTTCCATTCTGGGTGTTTACAAAGATGGATGGACATAAAAATGGAGTGCCCAACTTGCCGCCGTTCATTGCCTCCAGCTTAAAGATTAATCCATGTACGACATCTATAATGTAAGCAATCAACCAATGGCTTTGAACATTTTGAGACCAACTTCATCATCTTTTCCTCATAGTTGTCACTATTTTTTCCCAACTTCCTGTTGCTTGTTTCAGCTGAAGAGACACGAATCTTTATTTTGGGGAGGAAGGTATATATCATTTCAAGCAAGAAGATTATATAAGCAATTGAAGACAGAAGATAATATAGTTTCAAACTAAGCACGCCTCATATGAGTCTTGTATTATGTAACACAACATTTTATCATTTAGAGTAGCATAGGCTGGCCGCAATTGGTGCCCTTCTGTATATTCTTTCAGGATGTCTAGGTAGCTGTTATGTATAAAATTGGAATGGAAAAGAAGAAAATAATTCCAGTGCAGAGTGGATGTATCAAGAATACTGTCTTCTCTGTCTCTGTAGAGGCTTTTTGCAAGAAAATTAGTTTCGAGGAGATCTGTTTTCCCCCCTCTCCCTTCCTCCCTCCCTAGTCCCTTCTCAAAGAAATGCATCTTCTCTATACTTGAGTTCCAGTGATCAACAAGAGTAGCTTTTAGATGAGGAGAAAACGAGGCTGCGCTGATAAAGGTCGGTGTAATTTTGCTGCTTATGCACCCGAGTGAGATGTTACATGCTAAAGCATTGGTTCAAAATGCAAATGAAGTTTATTTGATTTTAATTTCTATTTTTCGGGGAATTAACAGGAGCTGCTAACTCAGCTACAATAGTCGTCACATTAGCCCTCCTTCTGCTCAAACAAATAATTAGTTTTATTGTAATATTACAGCGGCCGACACCTGCGGTATTACAACCAAAAAATAACCCTCAACCAAACCGACCCTTATAGGAGAGTCGAAAAACTAGTCTAAGGCATATCTAGTTGCTGTTTTTGAGTTTCATGTTCATTAAAATCTAGTGGAAAGACTTGTCTAAAAAGTATTTGAAGAAAAAGGTAAAATGTTTTGTCCCTTTTAAGGTGATCTAGGCTAATTAGACAATAACGAAATAGCTAAGGGTGTATTTGGTAATCAATGTGATTTTTATGTTGTGTTTTTGTAGAGAAACATCATGCCATGGTGTTTTTTTTTTCAAAAGTGTTTTGAAAACACCATTTTGTTCATGGGAACTATAAATTTTGAAATTGTTATAAAAATTGACAAAACAGAGATTTAATAACAGAAATTGAACTGAAAAACACAATAAATTTACTTGAATTGAAGGTGCCCAGTGGTGAGGATTTGGGGAGGACAAACAAGTTAGGGCTTGGAAGCCACCTCCACTACCCACCGCAACTCCACTTCCACCATTTCCTCCTCCCTCAAGTCCATCTTCTCCAAGCCTACTAACACCCCCCTCCTCTTCGGTTCCTCATCAGCTTGAGCTCCGGCGCTGCAGGTCCTTCTCCTTCTCCGGCCCCGCCTCTCCGCTTCCTTCGAGCCTCAGCGCAAGTCCTGCGATGTCAGGGGGTGCAACACCCTCTGGACCCTTTTCAATCAGAGCGGCGAGGGCCGCTGGAGCCGGCGAGATCGAGATCGTCAAAGATGAGATCGTGATCGTCGAAGATTCCTTCGTGATGGACCAGACGTCCGGCGAGATGGACGTCGAGGAGAGGCCGATGAAGGATCACATAGATCTCAAGTCGCAGCCTAAGAAACCTCCGGCCAAAGATCTCGCCGGTAGTTTCGGGCTCGGGTATTGTTTGGGGAGGAGAGAGGGCTGGGGAGCAAGGTTTTAAATATCGGTTATCGGGGATTTATCGGACAGTCAAAATCCTTATCGGATAGCGAAAATCGGGGATATATCGGGGATAAGTAGTAATTATCGGAGTGATAAGTAGATGCTATATATATATAATATAATAACTAAAAATGTAAATCTAACCATGCTTAATGAAATATAAACATACCAAAATGGAAATTATCATGTTTAGAATCACTAACGCGATATATCGGGTATTATCGGTAGATACCGACATTTGGGTGAGTGTTCGCACTCCCGTTTGGGTCTCGACTTGTGTGGATGAAGTCCGTTGTCATGAGTCCGTTGTCGTGGCGTACTGGGTGCAACAAGTGAGGTATTTGTTTTGGTTAGTGTCGGCTCAGTTTTGGAAAAACTTCGCCGAGGTGGAGAATCAACAAGTGAGGTATTTGTTTTGGTTAGTGTCGGCTCAGTTTTGGAAAAACTTCGCCGAGGTGGAGAATTGTGAAAATGGCGAAGGAATTGAGAAAAAAACATGAAGAATAAGCAAAACAGGCTCCACCACACCCTGGTGTGGTGTCTGCCATGGGTGTGGTGTCTGTCACACCATGGTGTGGCAGAATCTGCCATGTTTGTCATGGGTGTGGTGTGTGCCACACCAGGGTGTGGCAGACTCGTTTTTAGAATCCCAATCAGTTTGGGTGTGGTGTGTGCCACACCAGGGTGTGGCAGACTCGTTTTTAGAATCCCAATCAGTTTGGGATTGTGCTTTGTTATAAATAGAGACACGTTTTTTTGGCAGACTCGTTTTTAGAATCCCAATCAGTTTGGGATTGTGCTTTGTTATAAATAGAGACACGTTTTTTTAGGGTTTCTTTGGCTTTGTTTAGGCTTTGATTGGGCTTTGATTAAGCATTGATTGCGGGATATTTGGAGCACAAAAAGAGGTATTTTTTGAGCTTTTGGTTATAAGAGTTTTGTTGGTGAGATTAGTTTGTTCCTTCGAGTGATTTGTAATCTCAATTTGTACTCTTCTTCTCTATTAGTGAAAACCTCATCCAGTCATCCCCTTCTTGCCCCGTGGACGTATGCAACTTGTCGAACCACGTTAAAATTGGTTTTTTATTTGTGCATTGATATATCGAGTAACCAAACCAAACGCCAATCCAAGAGAGCCAAATAAACTAAATATCAATGCACAAACAAAACACCAATTTTAACGTGGTTCGACAAGTTGCCTACGTCCACGGGGCAAGAAGGGGATGACTGGATGAGGTTTTCACTAATAGAGAAGAAGAGTACAAATTGAGATTACAAATCACTCGAAGGAACAAACTAATCTCACCAACAAAATACTCCTCTAACTCTCATCCAAAACAAACCCCCTTAATACCAAGCTCAAAATACCTCTTTTGTGCTCCCAATTATCTAACAATCAAGCTTAATCAAAAGTCCCCCAATCAAAGCGTAAACAAAGCCAAAGAAACCCTAAAAACGTGATCTTATTTATAACAACAGCACCAATCCCAAACCTGATTGGGATTTCTAAAAACGACTGTCTGCCAACACCCTCGGTGTGCACACACCGCGATCCCATGACTAAACATGCGCAGAGTTTCTGCCACACCATGGCGCTGTGACAGTACACCAACACCCATGCAGCACACACCAGCGGTGTGGCTGGAGCCTGTTTCTGCTTATTCCTTCATGTTTTTTTCTCAATTCCTTCGCCATTTCTACGAACTGCGCCACCTCGGGCAAGCTTTTCCAAAACGTGAGCGACACTAACCAAAACAAATACCTCACTTTGTGCCACCCAGAGTACGCACGACACGGACTTCATGAAACGGACTTCCATGCCACACACGTCGAGACCAACGGGCAGTGGCCGAACACTCACCCAAATGTCGGTATCTACTCACCAAATCGGCTGCATCAAAACTGACTGCCTACGTATCCTCTTGCCCAAGGAATCAAGCCTTCACGTAGTTCACCCAAACGGCCTCCAAAGGCCCTCAAACAAATAGAAAAGTCTGCAACTCTTCCCCAATATCGCTAACGGATCTGTAACTGATAGCGGCCCCAAACTGATACAAATCGGACACCTCTATCTGAGGTGAACCAATGATCGTATCCAAATCATATCCACCAGCTGCAACCGAATCCAAAACCAATCCATCATCTGCATCCAAAATCAAATGATCCCCAACCTGTGTCACCTCAACTGGAATCCCAAATGATGCAGTATGATCTGGAGTATGTGAAATAAGTTCCACCCAACGTGAAGTAGCATCACCCTCCACATGCTGTGATATCCAAAGACCTGATCAACACTCTCCACCTGTCGAGAGTCAAAAGTGACATTCCTGCTCAGAACAAAATCAGAAGCTCCCAAACGATAATCAAATGAGCCTCTGAATCCCAAACGCGCAATCGGATCAAATCTGACATCCTCGATGTGACCAAATACTGGGTAACCAAATATCCGACACCGACCAAAATCTAAAGCAGCTCCACCAGATCCAATAACTTCTAATGTAGCAGTCGGCGACCTATGACTAAGATGACCCAAATATGTCGAAGCACCAGAACCAATGCTCGACAACCAACGTCGATCCTCCTCCAGAAAGGAACGACCCATCTTAACTGTCATCTCATCTTGTCGCCCCGAAGTCTCCACACCAATGAAGTGTTTCCTATTGCCGTGAGCTCGGCACAAACGCAAGAAAGGACCCCTACCAAAGCTAGAACAACGAGTTACCTTTCTGCCAATACACTTTTTCCAATTGTTATTGACTTCTAGGACTTTACACCAATGGGAACTGGTCGCGACCCAATAATGTCTAGAACAATCACCAACTGTGGAAACTACAAAACGATGATGCCTCCTTGGAAGGCTCCCAAATGCCTAACTGAACACCTCCTAAAAGATCCTTCGCTCGATGGATAGGAGTGCCAAACTCCACCTCAGTCTTGCTCATCCCAATGTGCTCAAAGGACTTCCATCTGCAGGTCAAAGCACTCCTCAACAATCTATACACGACATCACTAATCAAATACCCCAGCACCAAACAACGCCACAATCTAGCCAAATCCAATGAAGTCGTCAGAGCTCTATCAATCACCGTGCTCCCAAGCAAATAGTATAAGCTACTCTTTCTGACGTCCTTCATCACAATCATGGACCCAAATATAACTTTTAAGCGTGCATCCGCCAAGGTCACCCTATAGCCTACTGCCTCCAAAGCTCCAAGTGAAATGATGTTCTTCTTCAACTGAGGAACGAACCTCACTCCAACCAACCCTCGAATCACCCCGTCACTCATTCTGATCCGAACGGTACCGATACCACCAATAGAGCATTTGTGATCATTCCCCATGAGCACGAAATCCCCTCTTTCCAACTCCTGAAAGCTGGAGAACAAATCCCTTCTAAGGCAAATATGGTATGTAGCGCCCGAATCCAACATTCACTATGTAGAGTAGGCAACACAAACTGACGACAGTGCAGATAATGAGTAGCCTGAAGAATCCGAATCTGAATTGTTGCCACTAGTCTTGATAATATTCACCTCTGAAACTTGTACAACTTTCCCCTTATTCTTCCCAGCTTGATCATTCAACTTTGGACATTCAGCTTTCCAATGTCCATCTTCTTAACAAAAAGCACACTGATTCCTACGAATTCCAAGATGTGCTCCTCTAGAATGTGACCTTCTACCTCGGTTTGGACCCTTTGCTCTTGCAACCAATGCCCC